CATTTGATGCTGGATGTGGTGAATAAGCTGCCAGTGTTCAAAATATTGAATATGAAGTCATTGAAAACGATAGTTTTGAGAATATGGTTGAGATCGTGAATATGAGGCAGATGCTGAATGTACTGTGGAAGTGCGCTCTGACGATGACAGCGATGGTAAAATCATCTGCTCAAATTGAACCCTTTTAAGTTTCAAAAGGTAACGAAATATGCTTTCTTTTATTCTTCTGTAATTGTTCTTAAAATATCAAGAGTTTTTTGCTATTGCAGCAGTTAGAGATCCATCCATGCTGGATATATAGATCCGGGTCGCTAAAGACCCGAATATGTAATAATAATTGGCGAAACATTCATGCATTTAAGGGTTAAATTAAAAATGCTGCCAACTAGAACAGATTTCAAATGTAAACAGACCACATGTATCCAATGATGTTTCATGCTCTTCGTCCCCCTGAATGAGGCATGCTTGATGGCTTGTGGTAGCATTCTGAAGGGGTTGCATTTGGGCTTGCATTCATCCCAGTGGGGATGTAATACATGCTCTCTAGATAGCTTTGATCCAGTGATGACAGGCCTTTTGGTTCATTTTTTGGCATCTGGCTTGCAGGGCTTCCATACCTTAAGGAAGTCTGGTGAAGTGTGGTGGGCACAGGAGGTGGCTCCGGATGGCGAACTTGCGGGGCAGTACCTGAGATTGCTGGGTAAGATGGCACTGCATAAGGCAGGTGCCAGGACTGTGGTGCATACAACCCAGGACTGTGCAAAGAGGAGTAGGGCGGTACAGCTGGTGGATATAGCCCTGAATGGGACATTGCCTGATGTGGTATGAGAACTTCTACATACTGGCCTAATTCAGGATCAAACAGCATTTTTCTGAGTGGTTGCATTGGTACCTCAATGTAGAAGTATTTGCCAGTCTCAGGATCAAGAAGGACACGACGAGGACCTTGGCCACAGCTGAGCCCACTTGCATTCTCTGGATACAATACACCAGCTCCACCTGGACCTTCATTTGCATAATCATGGCCAAAAGATGGTGGCAAATCTTGAGGATTAAACAACTGAGGCCTGGGATCCAGAGTAGACATGTTAGCTGAATGAGAATACTCATGGTAGGGAGCAGGACCTGCTGCCTGAGGTGAAGGGTGACTGGCTGAGCGTCTATCTGCATGCAGCCCAGAAGCTGGTGGATAGTCATCACCATAGGATTGTGAGTTTGAAACAGGGCAAGCTTGTGGGTTGTGTAGAGGCTGAATCAAAGCTGAGGCATGAGGTATTGTAGTATTGGAGACTGGTAGACCATCTGGTCTGCACTGATGAGGACGTACTTGAGCTTGCGGAGGAGCAGCAGGACAGGTAAGGACTTGGCCTGGAGACCGAGAGGCTGCTGGTACCCGTTCCTGTGGACTATTGTTGGGATGTCCTTGATGCGAATGAGAACTTGGCGTGCAGGAGCAAGAAGATTGCTTAGTTGTTGGATGATACCTGCATGACCTATGTGGGGGTAAGTCTGAGAGCCGTAGTGGGCTGAAACTCTCCCGCTCATCATAGCTGGGAGGATCATCTAAAGCGTAGAAAAGATAGTCATCTGTGTGAAAACGATTATTAGATGATGCTCTTGTCACAGATGGTGTGTGGTTAAGGGCTTGTGGTCCTGATGAGTTAGAAGCAAAGGAACTATCTAGCATTGACTGGTCTTGACTGAATGATGGGGTCTGCTGCTGGCAAGTGCTGGTTGATTGCAAGAAAGCAGAAGATTGCTGTTGATCCAGACTGGCCAGTGTCTTTGTGGTGGATTTTTGCACAACACTTGGAGTTGTTGTGACTGAGATGGATGGTGGTTTGCAGCTTGATACAGCTGATACAGCCAGTCTTTTTGTATCTCTTGATGAAGTCTCATTTGGTTGATCCTTGTGTGTCACTGTTGATGGTGTTTCATTTTTCTTTGATTCACTACTTAATATTGTTTGGTGTTTAATAACAGACAATGCTTGAGTATCTGCTTTTGATGGGTCACTTGACACTGACTTAATTTCTGCAAATGACTGTTTATAGCTAGGTTTTGGTGGTACAAATGGCTTTAGTCTATCAGTGGATATTGATCTCACTTGTATGGGTAACTCAATCTCTTTTGATGCATTCACTGGCGTGGCATTATTTTTTGTACTGCCTGAAAAAGACCTCACCTCTGGCTTGCCAGATGTTGCTAAATAAGTTGGAATTTGTGTCATAGTTGTGGTGGCAGTTTTCTTTTTTTCTTGTTCCTTTGTTGAAGGTTCTTCTGTCAGTGTTCCCTTGGGACTCTCACTTAGTTGAGATGTTCTTGACAAATTGTTGACAAAAGCTGTTGGATTGCAAGGCAATGATGTATTTTCTGCCTTTACTTGTACTTCACTTGAAATGCTTTCTGATAAACATGCCTGTACAGGTACCTCAAGCCTGTTGACATGTTTAGCTGTAGCACTTGCACCTTCAGTGAGAACATCACACACTCCAATGTCAGCCTGCATCCCTTTTTCTTTCAGTAGCATGGATACGGAGTGGCTGCTGCTTGCAGCTGTCATTTGAGTCGAGTCAAGGATTGTAGGGGAAACAGTCTTTGTCTTGGATGTGCAATCCGGTACAACCACCAACGCAGAAACTTCTCGCTCCTTACTTGGGGGTCTAGGGGGCATCTTAGAACTCTGATCACAGTGAATGTAAGATCTTTTATTGATACTTTCTGATTCATGTAATCCATCTGTGGTTGTAGAGTGAGAATATGGTGCTTTTTGTTTTGACTCAGTCTTTGGCGAAGAGCCTTTGGATGTAATTTCAGTGATGTCAGCATCTCTTTTTGTCTCTGCGCACACCCATGGTTGTGATATTTTTGATATGTCAACAGGCAGATTTTCATCATGACAGTGGATTGCTTTGCTGCCTGATGTTTGTTTGTCCTTCCAACTGATGGCTTTACATTCAATGTGCAAGGTTGGAGGAGTTTGCGGCGGCTTCTCTCTTTTCCCTTGAATCACTGTCTCTTCTGCAGATGATGTTGAATTTGATGCTTTGAAAGACAGGTTGTATGTGTTTTTCACTAACTTCCTCACATCCCTAACTCTATGTATAACAGATTTTTTGTTGCTGTCATCATCGTCTTCTGTCTCTAAAACTTTAGTAGATTTGGTGCTTAAATCTTCTGCAGCTTTCTCCATTGCCTGAGATTCAGATATTTTTCTGGACTGTTCCAAGTCAGGGGACAAAAACACTTTCAGAGATGTCGTCTTTTTTCCTTTGATAGAAGGTTTCAAAGTTATCTCTGGGGTTTTCAACATAAATACACTCTTTCCAGCCAGTTGTTCCTGGTTTTCCGGTGTCATCTGGCGCTTTCTTATGTCTCTGGTTGTCATTCTGTTCTGCATGCTTATTGCTGGTGTAGCAACAACAGGACTTGTGTTACTGATACTGGCATTTGCAGAGTCACTTTTGTACTTCTCTTCAAGGTTGCTACCTACTCCCTCTTTCCTATCACTCTTGCTGTTTTGTATTTTGTCATCAACTTGTGGAGGGGCCACTATAGGCTTGGTTTCTTCCCTTGCAATGTTGCCAGCAACCTGAGCTTCCCCGTTGTTAAAGAACGCAGGTCTTAAGAATGGCTTTGGAGGAACTTTTGGAGCACACTTCTTCAGCTGACGATGTGAAATTCTCTCCTCTCCGACAGCAAAATCTTCAGATGAAAGAGTACATTCAGAATGCTGGCTAGAGCTTAAACTATGTTTCTCCATGGTACTTGGTACACCATCAAAAGAGCTGGGGCTGACATCAGGATGTTTGTTTTTATCTCCAGAAGGACTTGGGTCTGTACTTTTTGGTGTCTCTTTCTGAACATCCTGCATTTTCTTTGACAATACACTCTTGATAATGCAAGATGCCATTTGTGTCTTAGGGGAGCCATCATCTAAAGACAAAGACTTCTGCAAGGTCTTTTTCCTGTCATTTTGTGGTGAATCTGGCACCTCCTTGGAAACTTCCTGTTGCACAAAAGCTGGTGTGCTATGTTGACGAACAAGTGCGTCTTTTGAGCGTCTATATGTGGAGGGTGAATTGAAAATATTTTCATTGTTTCCTTTATGTTTTGATTCATCTGTGTTCCGCCTTAACAGCTGGATCTGCCTTTTAGGTACTGTCCTCTTTCCTCTACTGGACTCTTCCTTGCTCTCTAATGCAACATCCACACACTCAAAACTCCCCATTTCAAAGCGTTTGTTTGGGTCCAGGCCGTCACGGGGTAAAAAAGACGAACCATCGTTTTCATGTAACGCTGAGCCACGTAAATCTGCGTAGGTCATCCATGCAACAGCACCAGGGCTGTCTACAGTCGATGGCTGTGAAACATTTGTAGAGGACCTGTGGCTTGAATTGTACACATCCAAATAATCCACCTGAGGACTAGATAGGCTTCTGAAGGCCAGATCTGTAAACCACTTTACTTCATTGTCTGCTTCATCAAATTCACTTCCCATGCTGGAGGTCTCACCAGTACATTCAGGAAGAAGAAAGCCTGCACTGCTGTATTTACCCTGGGCAGCTGACTGGAGCCTCCTGGCACCACCCTTGTTCTCTTGTTGTGAGCCCTGAGCTCTGAGCTGACTCTGTTGCTGCAAAGTTGTTGGGTGCGACTCAAAATAACAGCGAGCTGGAATTCCCGACTTTGGGTCTTGACTTGAGAGAGCTGGGCTGTGGCCTGCAGACCCTTTTCTATTCCTGGCACTGAATGACAGCACAACCTGTTCCCCTCTGTAACTACTCTCTCCCATAGTCTCCTCCCCCTCTCCCTCCTTCTTTCCACTTTCCTCTTTTTCCCTGCATGGCTGCCTGTCAAATTCACCACCATTGTCCCTACTGATAACCCCTGCGCTTTCTCTTAATGCTACAGGCACTTGACTAAGCCTCTTGTCACTGCTTGGGGAATCATTTTTCAACATTTCTGTTCCCTTGTTCCTATCAAAAACCTCAACAAGGCATTGTTTCTTCTCTACAGATGCATCCCATGGACAAGGGGAGGTTGGTGTTCCACAGAATGTTAAATCAGTTGTGTTGTCAGTGACAATTTCTTGACTTTTCTCAATTTTTATTGTGGATGATCCAGAATCTGAGGTTTTAGAGGTTGAATCTTGTAGTATCTGAACTGGTGGTCCACTGCCTTTACATTCATCTGGGAGAAATGCAAGGCTTTTGAGGGTCTTTGTGTCAGCATGGTCATCAAAACAATCAAAACTGTCTATTGGGTTAGAGAAAGGATGACTAACTCCATCACAGATTATGGATAAACTCTGATTTTCTGCATTTCCAATAGTGATGGAAGGCTCAGGTTCAAGATCAGAGGATAGTGTTGTGTGTTTGGTATGGTCTGATGTAGCTGATGAGGGCCTTGATCTACTCTCTGGTGTTGGCAAAAAGTTCCTTGAGCTAGGTAAGACAGAGGTGTCATTTCCAAAAAGATAGCTGGAAGTTTCAGAAGAGTTGCCACAGACATTTTTTTCTACTGCAGGTGATTGTGCTAAATCTTCGGTTAGTATAACATTATATGTGATGCCTGGGGATTTTGTATTTTGTGGCAGAACACTATATGATATTGTTTTGATTTCAGGTGAGCAGGTAACCGATCTCAATTCCAGTGAAGGGGCTGGGGAATTGGGCTCTGGTGTAAGGTCATTTTCTCTGCTGTTTGGAGTGGAGGTAATGCTCCTTAACGCAGGTGTGGAATCTCTACTGCATGTTGGTGTTGCTGTGTAATCAGTTCCTGTGATGGCAGGAGAGGATGGTAGGTCATTAGGTTGCACTGAAAAAAACATTCTCTTATTTGTAGGTGATGGGCTGATGGTATAACCCATCGGTGAGTGAATTATTTCAGGTTCTGGTGAGTGAGCTGGAATGGAGTGATCAGAAAAGGAGTGCATATCACTGTGACCGCAGGGGGAAGATGTTGAGGCATCAGGTTCAGTTGAATAAACCCGTCTCTCATTTGTAGGTGATGGACTGATGTTGTAACATGGAGACGAGTGAATGATTACTGGTTCTGAGTGATCAGGAGAAGAGCAAATATCCCTGTATTCAATCCTTGTGACTACAGGGAAGGATGGTGAGTCTTCAGGTTCAGTCGAAGAAACGATTCTCTCATTTGTAGGTGATGGGCTGATGGTGTAACCTACAGGGGAGTGAATCAGTACTGGTTCTTGTGAGTGAGCAGGTGCTGAGTGATCAGGAGAAGAGCAGGTTTCATTGAACTCAGGTGATTCCAGTTTTTCTCTTCCAGCTATGGATGAATATACCAGTCCTCTTGTTTCAGTAGAAATGTCAGACACAGTTAGGGAATTTATTTGCACATTATCACTGGTAGGCAGTGTAGATACAGATAAAGTAGCACCATAAGTGTCCTCCAAGTCTGGAGTCTCCGATGTGTTCCTAACTTGAGTTGGACACAAATTCAGCAGCTCAGGTAAAGATCTACCTGTGGATGCAGGTGTGGAGGTAGTTTCCCTGATTACAGGGGAGGTGGAGGTCAATCTGGGTTCTGGCATGACACTGGATATGGGTAGAAAGTTAATATCTCTGTTTGAAGGTGAAGTAGACATTTCCTCCATAAGGCTGCAATCTGTTGGAGAAGGGTTTGACAGTTCTGATGCAGAGCCACTGTTCATCATCCCTTGCACAGAAAGAATGTTTTGCTCTCGTGGACTACAATAGATCCTGCTCTCTTTGTCCTCAGAAGACATCACAACATTTTGCTCAAGTGGAGATACTGCCAAAGATTCACAGTCTGACTCAAATATTTGTTTATCTAAAACTGGGCTTGTGCTTATATGTTGAGGTGTTTTAATAATTCCTTCTTGCTCAAAAACAGCAGGTTCTTTCTCTTCCGAAGAGCAGGATGTAGAATTAGAAGGTTTCTTTGCCGGATTAATCAGGGTGGTAGCTGGTGTTGAATTCACATACTGTGGTTCAGATGCATTTGTGATGGCCATTTCATTCACTGGGGCAGTGATTACTGACACTTGGGATTCTTCCCAGTTATCTGTATGTGAAAGGTCATTACTATTGACTTTGGATGCAGGTGGTGTGCAGTCTAGTTGGTTAAGTCCATTTTTGGAATCAGACAAGATGGATGATTTAGTTGGTGGTGAACGTGATTCCCTGGTCTCAGATGTGGAAAAATCTGGTGTATTTTCTGGAGAAGGTGTGTTGTAAGTGACTTCAGCGTTGTCGCTTAAGTCAGATCCATTGGCAGTGTGGTAAGATCCTAAAGAGTCATTGGCATCATCTACTGGAAAAGACTGATCCACTTCCCTCCTGATAAATGGGGCAGAGGCTGGGCTACTGGAAAGTGACGGAGACTCGCCGTCACCCCCAAAAATGTCACACAGGCAGGGTGTTTCAGATATGGCATTATGATGGCTGGGGATTGAAGTGATGTCAAAGATCTCCACACGATTTGGCCCTTCATGACTCTGCAGGCTGAACGTGTGTGGAGCACTGTGAAGAAACGAGTAGCTGTCGCCCTCTAAAACCCAGCGTTCCATTTCTTCACTTCAGATACCACAGACATTGGGTTGTCTCACTTGAGCCTTTTATAAATGCATGAGCTGGTCACTCATCAGTTGTTGAATGCTTTCAGACCTGAAACATCAAAAGAAACAATCATGAAAAATTTTTACTATAGGAATTAAATAATTCTTATGACAAATCCTAAAATTTCTATATAAAATATTTTCTTGTTAGCTTTATACAAAGTTTCTGAAAGCGACTGTCTATCAGAAATTATAGCTACTTGAAACAAATGTGTCTCTTACAAATAAAATAGTTTACAGTTTGCTTATACAAAATTATAATAATAATAGTAATAGTAAACAGGATTACTTATAAGGTTACAATATTACTCTTATGACTACTGATAGATATAAATCAAAGAAAACTTACTGATGCAAAAATATATACAGTAACTTTGCCGGTGTTAAACGGGTTTCAACACACATGCAGAAATCAAAAGTTCACATAAAAGTCATCAGATATGATACTTGCCTTTTTTTTTGTTGCTGTTTTCCATGTGGCCAGTTTGAATGAAACAACCCCTCCAGAGAACATTCACAGGGGACAGTTATGCACTGTACCATGAGCTGTGAATGAGGCTCCAACTGGGGAGTCCAGGTTTCCTGTGAGTGCCAAACTGACCGCTTATCATCACAGGCCACTCAGTGCACAGATATGTCCAGCCCCTCAAGCTAAGTCCAAAAAATGCTACGACTCCTGTACCATTAGCCCTGTCTGAGCTCACAGAGCCCAGCTATTTCTAACATTAATTGACACCACTTTTAAAAAAAAAAAGAGACACAAGCATGCACAAAAAAAGTACAGGATGAACCTGACCTGAAGCTTTTTTAATAATGCTTGGACATAGGTGCATGTCTCTGCCAAGCTTAATAGGGTGTTACAGCTAGGAGCAGGTGCTGCGATAGGATAGACGGAGTCTGTGAGTGGAATCTGACACACTTAGGCCAAGACAGTCATAGGAGCTCACTAATTTTAGACCTCTTCTATCAGGGGAAACTTTGCTTTGAGAGGCTGCCTAGAGACAATAGAGCAGTAGTTTTCAAACCTGTCCATGAAGTACCCCCAGCACTGTACATTTTGTATGTCTCCCTATTCTGACACACCCACTTCTTGCAGTCTCCACTAATGAGCTGATGAGTTGAATCAGGTGTGATACGTAGATGAGGGAGACATACAAAGTGTGCAGGGCTGGGGGTACTCCAGGACAGGTTTGAGAACCACTGCGATAAGAGGAAACAAAATGGCAGTTTTACAAAGTACACACCAACTGAACTTTAGTATTAGATTGCAACATCCAGCTCTTGAAAACTCTTCCTTATACCTAGAGTCTATAAATGAAGACTACAGCATAGGTAATTCAACCTAAAGATCTGCAATAAGTTTTTTTTTTCTTTTATAAACATAAGTTTGGGAAAGTGATTCTTTGCTTTTAGCTTGAAAATGCTGACAATTGAAAATTATTTATTTCAATAAAAAAAATGCATAAAATATAACCTAATGACCACTTGAACTTCCTGAGCTATCTTCTTTCCACATTGTACTGCCCTTTGTTCAGTGCATCAAAGTATATTTATTTCATGTGGTTACAAACTAGTCCATCGTCTTATGGGGAAAGAATGCTGAGCACCTTTGCGATGCGGGGATTTAGTGTTCACACCACACTACTTACAGAAATCCAAAAGCACAGCAGCTTGACAATACCAAGAATAGGTCTTTGATCAGCTCATGGACAGTCAAAACAGAATTCTGAATGACCATGAATTAAAGCTACAGACTTGCATTCTCATGGAGCCACCTGATATTTAAGACCTTTGACTGAAAGGTTGTGTGCTTTTACAGAGCAGAAACAGGATTAATTGCAGACGGCAGCACAAAAAAAAAGGTGTTATTTGTCTCTAGCACACTGTTATCTAGCACACTGTACATAAATATGCTTGCAGAAATCCCCCTGCAGAAACATGACACATTTCTATCTTGAGCTCAGTGTATTTAGATACTCTATTTTTTGACAAATATGCAGTGGGCAGAAACTGCCCCACAAATAAAACAGGCTTAGGAGGTCACTTGACAATTTGTATACAAAACACCACGTAACCTTGTAGATACGCCACTAACTCTATAATATATGTAGTGCAGGAAACTCTGATTTTGTCCTTATTTGGAGATAACAGACTAACTGAAAAAATAATTGCATAGTAAAAAGTCTATTTAAATGCACTGAATCTAATACTGCTAGTATTGCCTTAGTAACTTCCTGGATAACATCATGACTCAATCTAACAAAGCATATTCGCGTACTACTGTCCAACTGCACAGCAGTTTTATATGAGGTTATAGGCACACCCAAAAAAATAAAATAAAAGACCATCACTTCCCATGAACCCTTCTCAAAGTGATCTGTGGGTGTTCAGTTTATCTCAATTATTTCAATTTCTATTTTTTGATGTCAGAGTATAATCAACTCTGTTAATAAATAATGTAGCGTAATTGTTCTAACAAAAAATGTGTTGTTTTTATTTAGAAGATTTTTTTCTTAGAAACAGATATTCTACTTTAATGCTTTCAAAAGTTCAATCTCCGGTTTTTGGTTTTGAGGTCAGGAGGAGATCCTCTCCAACAGCTAATGTAGTTCAATTTCACAAGCTGAAAGAAAAAAAGCATTATTACTTAATGATTTCTTAAAATCCAGTTATCATCAATCTGCACTGTACAATATCAAATGCATACAAAGGAATATTGTAAGATTACTGGACGTCTTTTACATTTTTACATAATAACAGTACATGGAAAAGAAACAAATCTTATTTTATCAGTAAAACTTGATGAGCTGGCTGTGAAAGTGACTCACGTGAGGGTTTCAGTCTTTGTGCTCGAGAGAAATAGTACGGTGCTAATATCCCAGCAGCATCTCCAGGGGTCAAGAGTACGCCATTTTCTGACCAGAAGAACTGAATCCCATCTAAACACCAACCAGAGGGGAGAGGGATCATTACAACTTCAGCTCTAACATTGTTAAACCTATTCAACTTTAAACTGGTTTTAAAAATGTTTTCTTAATACCTGACATAGCTTTCGCAACATCAATATACACAGCTAGATCGCAACTCTGTCTCATTCCTAAAAACAGAAAAGAGACCATTTACAACTGTAAATAACCAAATAATGTATTTAAATCATATTTAAAAATCATATTCACATATTTTGTACACATATTCTTGGTCTGGACTGCTTTCTGCTATCCTAGTTTTGCCATTAAAATAAAATAAAATAAAGACCTCTATAAATTAATCTAATCTGAAAGTCACTCACCACTGATAACTCCGCCCTCTCCAGGAAGCCCAGGTGCCAGGTGTATGTGAGTTCTGTTCATTCTGCTGATGCCCTGACTGCGTATTGAGGGCCAGTGTTTCATATATGAGCCATGAACAGCTTCTCTCGGATAGTCTGGATCATCAAGTGCTACTGCTCTCAGCTCCAGATCTGTAACCTGAATGATACACATTATGTAACAACATTTATCAAAGTATATGTAAACTTGTGTCAAGCAAATGCTCCAGTGACCATGTCCAATTTTCAAATCTATTTTTCTACTGTAGTCTTTGCATGACCTCTGATCCAAACTGACCTTCACTGAGTGGCCCTGATTGGCTCGTATCTGAAGACGACCATCCTCAGGGTGGTTGCAAAGCTTGAATCGCTGTTTGTCGTTGGTGGCCATCACTCGTTCCACATCCTCCAGTGAAAACGAGCGGAACTGCTGATGAGCGAGAAGTTCCTCCACAAACACAAAACCATCTGTGGACAAGGACACATAATTGCAGACAGACAAAAGGGATGATTAAAAAAAACTAAATCCAAGGAATTATAATTAATGAATGAACCATTTGTTTTCTTGTCCAACAACAACAGTAATCATCCTCCGCTCACAAGCAATTACACATAACTTTGTAAGCAGACAGGGTGGGTGTTCTCATGTGGGTGTACAATCCTTATCATCAATCATACACTACATATCATCTCACCAGAGTTCATCTGCAGACCCATCTTGTTGGCACCATGACGTAATGCATAAGACAGAGATTTAGACAGACGCACATCTCTGCTCTGAAAAACGCAAAATAGAAATATAACATAATTCATAACTGTTCACAGAGGCTTTCAAAACTTTAACACAGTAAATGAGTAGTTACACAAAATATCGCTATTATCCTACATTTCACACTTCTCCACACAGGAGATGTGACCTGCTATACTTGTAACTGTTTTAAAAAGCATTTTGTTTTTCATAATGAAATTCATATGAGTTATTTTATATTTTCGATTCATTTATATTGAAACAAATACATTTGAAACTAAAATCTTGATTTTTGACCAAAATATAAAATTAACAAAATGACAAAAAACTGTTTAAATAAGAACTCGTTGTACATAATTATGGTAAAATTGTGATTGCCATGATTGGACACAGGAACTGATTACACAGCAACACCAACATGCAGTAGAGATTCCACACCTGCGTTAAGGAGCATTACCTCCACTCCAAACAGCAGAGAAAATGACCTTACACCAGAGCCCAATTCCCCAGCCCCTTCACTGGAATTGAGATCAGTTACCTGCTCACCTGAAATCAATGTTTGTGTAAAAATAGTCAATTGTAAGAAGACCACGGAAGTGATCAATCATGGTTACTCCCACCTCTTCATTCCGGTTTCCTCGCCCTCCTCTTCCTCTTCCTCTTCCTCGAGGTTGACAGTCCATTTATGACACTCGTCGTGATTGTATCATTCACAAACAGCTATCGGATATATGGCCTAATGCAGTTACATTTGTTTCTTGTAATTCTTCACATCCAAACAACTAACAACCATTCATCTATACGAATATTGTACATTTAAGCTACTTTATGCTTACGTTGCTGAAATTCACGTGACAACCGGAACAGAGGAAACAGTGAAAGCATTATTAATGAGCATCCAGCGGCCAGCAGGGGGCAGGAAAGACTTTGTTTTATATATATTCTGAGAGATTTTACACCATCTAGCGGTGATAAATGCACTGATGTATGATGTTTTAGATGAGGTGTAAACTAGTGATAGCTTATTAATAGAATATAACAAGAAATTATAATAACATTTGTGGAACACTTTCGCTACTAGCCAACAACTTAAAAAGAAATAAAAGTTTTCTCATGTCATCAATAATTGTTGAGATTTACAAGCAAATTATTATTATTATTACATAAGTTTTTAAACCAAAATATATCCCACCCCTCACAGAGGGGCACCAGTCGTTCATCTTTGTGCGGGGCATTACTGCGTCTTTCAGTCGTCCATCTTTGTGCGGATTATTATTATTACATAAGTTTTTAAACCAAAATATATCCCACCCCTCACAGAGGGGCACCAGTCGTTCATCTTTGTGCGGGGCATAACTGCGTCTTTCAGTCGTCCATCTTTGTGCGGGGCATAACTGCGTCTTTCAGTCGTCCATCTTTGTGCGGGGGCGTCTCGCAGACTGATGCTGTGCCGTGTGGAGCAACAAAACACTGCGAGCTTACGGTCTAAAAACAAAGACCTGCGCTGATCTTACGTCGCTGCTTTCTGTTCCGAAAGCTCGACATGTACTTTAACCGCGGTTACCCCGTCATCGCCTGCTGCGTCCTGGTCGGGCTGGTTCTGGGTTCAGAAGATGGCCCGGATCGCCCGGTTATCGGAGCTCCGGGATCCCCGGTCCGTCTGTCGGAGTCAGACCCGGGGGTTATGAAAGCAGTCAAATTCGCAGAGGAACTATATAATATGGGCTCCAACGCGATGCATATACGCCGTGTTAGCAAAATCCTTTCGGCCAGCAAACAGGTAGAATTATAAATAACTAATCCGTTCAAATTTCAAATATCTATGTTATTAACGGGTACAAAACCAGGTAACGTTATATAATTGTTGTTCATGTAATTGTTGATATATATCATTGTTTATGTCTTATTTATGACGTGACTTATTGATTTACACGATTCTGATTTTGGACAATAAGTTAATTATAAGGAGCTATTTTTACCGCATTCATGTGATTAGACGTAAACAAGCGCAGAGCGTGCGCAGAGGCCTCAAATACATAACAGTGCTGAGCTGATTTAAGCAGCACAACACTGCGCGCGTTTTGCGCATAATTTAGTCATTACGGTAGTTCAGAGGAAAGCTGCGCACTTTTGAGCATATACGAATGTTTTTGTTTTTTCTTATATCATAAAGATACATATAAACGTTAGGCAATCAAACAAGAACTAGAGGAGATACAATTATTATAATAAAAAATAATAATAAAATGCAAACATTTCATTTATTTAAGACATTTTCTACAAGATGGAATGTTTTCAAAGTTTTTTTTTTATTGGAGGAGTGATGAGAACTGATTTTTTCAAGTGATAAGAATAGTAAATTAGAAGCTAATATTTTGAAATAAAGTTGAAGTTGCGATACCTTGTTTTGTAAATGTGGTATTTACCCATCATACAAATAAAGTCCAATAAGGAGGTTAAACCAACTCTGAGTTGAAACTTGAACTCTGAGTTGACTTACCCCCTGAGATGGGAAACTCTGAGTTTTCGGGTTCAGAACAGCTGAATTGAGTTAGTTCAATCGACTCTGAGTAGGTTGACTCTGAGTTTAGCGCGTGCACCACGACTATGAAAAGCCGTGATCAATGGAGCTCGGAAGTTGATTCACAATGGCAACAGCACCAGACAAAAAGACGTCCGCATACTTCCGAGTCAATACGTCACTTTAATTCTTAATCACTGTTATAATATAAAAGGTAAAACGTGGCAGAACAGTAAATTATTTAAGTAATATTAATTTCCATCCTACAGGCAAAAGCAAAAGAAAAAAATGAGAAAAAAAAAAGCAGCTAAAATGAAGTATACACATAATTCAATCAAGGTAAAGCTTTAAGCATAAAAGGTTCATGAGTGTAGGCTATATGACTTTACAAACCTTTGACATATTAAATAAATATCATTCAGGGTCTATTTCAGTGCGCTGCAGCTTTTTCCACATAGTTTAATGCTCTTTTCACATAATTAAATGTTCTCTAATCCAAACTGTTGCATTTCTTAATTAGAGTAAATTAAATTAACATATGAATTCTACTCATGAATTCTACAGATGAAGAGGAGAACGCCACAATACCAAGTATTGGAAAAATATTAAAATCCAACAGGAAAATTAATAACTGTTGCTTTTCTATTTGTAGGAAATAAAGATGACCAAATACATTACAGCGAGACACACTTTCCTTACCGCTCTGCATACAGCGACCTTACTAATGTGCTCTGCATCCCTCATGTTATATAGAAAACTACTATTTAAAAATGGTACCGCTCAAATAAATATGCATGTGGATATGGCAAAAAATATATAAATAAAATTAAATAAAAAAATAATTAAAATAATCCTCTCCCGATGTAAATGTAACTCCCTACGAATTAATGTAGCCTCCTCATCTATAGGATTCAGTATAGGACATGCCGTTTTTGTCACTTTCACAGTGTCTGCATGATGAAAATAAATATGTGCAATGAATGAATGTACCAGCACGGCAAAAAATGCTTTTCTTACTTAGTATCTTTGTCTTGTTGTTTCCAGTCAAAATATCTAAAGATTCTTAAATCAAGATGCATTTTCTACATAAGAAAAATTACATAAGGTAGCCTATTTAGTCTTTTAAGTGCATTTTTCCTATTTTGCTAATTATCTGCCAATGGGGTAAGAAAAATAATCTTGTTTCCATTTGCATTAATATTATCTTTCCTGTTTTAAGTAAAATGCTCTTAATTTAGATTCCAAAATACTCACTAACAAAAGTATTTTTGAGGCATGAATGAATGAATGAGGTATTTAAACATCGCTTATGCTTTAAAAAGGGGGAGGAGACCGAAAGAAACTCTGGGTTTAACGAAGAAAGCCTGCTCCCGATCAGGTTAGGTTCACAGAGTAAGTTACCATGGTAACTGACTCTGAGTATTAGTTACCTCTCTTTCAGAAACGGGCTTGACTTACTCTGCTTTCTCGGGTTTGACAAATCTCCCATTCTGAAACCAAAAACCCAGAGTTTCCCTCATTTCAGGGTTAACATACTCAGAGTTTTCACTTAACCTCCTTTCTGAAACGGGCCCCAGGACATCATCTAGCTCCCTATTGTCAACAACATCAGAATGAAAAAGAACTTTAAAACTGCAGTCCGTAACTTTTTTTGGTTAAAAATGATCCGAAATCAATATTTGAGCAAGTACATAACCAGCCAGTGTTCAAAACTATCGCCTTACTTTAGCCCGATTCACAGTGGTTAGCTTATAATAATGTTTTCTAATTTGTAGGTTTTCTCAGAATAATTAAATGTATCATTTTGATGCCGGATTGTAATCCAGAAAGGATTATGTGTTTATGAAACACATGTGACTGAAATTATATTCCAGTTTTAAGTGTGCTTCTGATTACAGATAGTCTAGGATTACACAAGATTTGTATTTTTTGAGCTAACCAATCTTTAGATTTAATCACCATTGGTAGCACAATTTATTGTAATGCTTTTTTCCTCAGTTGGTCAGAACAAAAACGTGGCAGACTTGTTACTTGCTTGTTCAGATGACAATATCCGGTGAAAATTCTTATTTGGGTCATATATTCCAAGACGTAGGCTAGAATCTGTGATTGCAAAGTACAGTAAATATCCACACCGGTGCGGTGACTGACTGCCACACATACTTCTCAAAACATTAGATTCATCCGGTACACAGGCGCACAACCCACGCAAGGAAGATAATTCCGCAAACAGCTGCAATTGCAGGTTTTCAAACACAGATGGCGACAAAGAGGCAAAACTTGCGGACTGCAGCTTTAACTACAGAAATGTTACACAGATGGAAGAATACAAGAAGCATCAGGGCGGTATATTTAAAAGCTGTTAAAAAGCCTACTGTTGTATAAATACCACACATTCTTGCAGCTTGTGATATAAAAAATTGTGTATTTATTTATATGAATTATTAGAAAGTTTCTATAAATCTTTATCTATTAAATGTCCATCTTTATTGAAATATGTAACAAATTTATTAAGATTATTTATAGAAGTTTGATATTCCACAACCATAATTATTCCTCCATTGAAAAAAAATAGTCTTTAATTTCTGTTCTGTGTCTTCCACAGCTGGTAAAAGGTGTTCGGTACAGTATTATGGTTGAGATTGGAAGCACTCAGTGTAAGAAATCCCTAAAGCTGAGCGGTGTGGACACCTGTGACTTTTTCCCAGAGCCTCACAAACAGAAGGTGAGCAAACACTAATTCTTAAGCCATATAAAACATCACTACTCGGTGTCTTGTAATGGCAAATTCAGAGGATTCTGTAACAGTCAATACACAGCACACAACCCATTTAGGGTGGAATTTCTTTTTGTCCATTATTAGCATGTTTGCAATTTTGATTTTGATTTCATGTTCAAAATAAATCAAATCCAGTATGATAACCCCATGTTTTTGTTCAAAAATTAGATCTGCCCATCTGCTGCAAAGAAATGCAGTTCTTGTAAATTTACAATCCACATTCTCTGTCCTAATCACCCCATTCTGTCTCTCCACAGACGGAGGTTTGTTTGTTTGAGGTTTGGGACATTCCCTGGGAAAATAAATCCACCCTACTTAAACAGAAATGCCAGCCTGCGGGTCAGTAGCCTGGGACAGATGGCAGATCTGTCAGCCTCATGTAGTCCAAATCATCTTTATCACATGATATACTGCTGTGGTGTAAAACACAGAGACATGCATACTCATTGTAGTGTTTTAGGGCAGGATATAAAGTGATTTTGATCATACAGCCACATGCATGTATAGTTAACCTTGATATTGTTCATGCCTTAGTTTCCAAGGAGCTCAAAAAGGTTGCAGCCGTACCTCTAACCCATGGCAAACCCATGAAGGTATGGATAAGTGTGCAGTGTACACCAAAAATGTCATTAAAATATTAGCAATTTGCAATTAACCCTATAAAGCCTACTGTATCACAACTTTGTTGAAAAACCTATTGTGCACAATCTACTACATGCTATCTGTCGTCTGATTATTAGTATAAACATAAAAGACCTCTTAGTATGTCCCCCATCAGGTCATGGTTCATGTGTCTTTTTGCTGTGAAATCTTTACTAATTTTTATAAAGTAAATGTAAGAATAACTTTTATATTGTTAGCAATATTACAAGATGAACACTTAGCGGACTGAAGCAACTTAGAATATGAATATGTAGAATATGAGTATGAAATATAATACATGAGGCTTCTGAGAAATATTTTTTCCTCTTCAATTATGAGCTCCATATACTCATTATTATATTATACGAGCTATATAAAAGCCGGATGTATCAAATATAATACTCAACAAAAAAACACACACATGCAAACTTTAAGATTTTTTTTTTCATATTTTGTCTAAAATTCAATAAACAGTTCCATTTCAGTTTTTTTTTTTCAAACCATTATTTCAAATGTCAGGCTTTACAGGGTTAAATGTTTGTGAGCTTTTCATCATGCATTTTATGATTTTTTTATTTTTTGCTATTTTCAGGAAACTGTGGAGCTTTTGACCGAGTTTAAAAACTTTATGATCACATACAATCAAACATACAGCTCCCAAGAAGGTAAAACACAGAACATACTTTACATTACTATGAATTTGTCACACTTGTACTTTATTCTACATTTTACAATGTAATTTCTCAGGTACTTGGAAATTTGTAATAATAATAAACAAGTAATCAGTTTGTAATCTTGTGCAATTTTATAAGTATACATATACAGTATATTAATATATATTACCTCTCACATAGATACCATAATGTAAACTATTACCATATTAGTTTTCTACACTAGTATGTCAGTTAATGGCTATTTGTAATGCACATAACACAATAAAAATCCCTTCTTTAAGCACTGATCCATTACACTCCACAGAGGCAGAGAAGCGTCTTCGCATTTTCCAGGAGAATATGAAAACGGCACAAACGCTGCAATCTCTGGAACAGGGCTCAGCCGAGTACGGGGTCACCAAGTTCAGTGACCTCACAGGTATGTTTATGGATTTGTTGATTATCGGTGATTACTCCGTTAATAAAATGAGCAAAAATGGCCAATTAGTGATGACTCGGTGGTCAAAAGTAATAATCCAAGCCAAAATTAACATGATTAACAATAGTTATTACATGATTCAAAGACGCTGTAACAACATTTGTAACACTTGAGACCAGTCTAATATATATCGAGTATAAGATCATATCAATGCAGCTGATCCCAACATCTGTGTGTTTAGAGGATGAGTTCAGAATGATGTACCTGAACCCAATGCTGAGTCAGTGGAGCCTGAAGGAGGAGATGAAGCCAGCGACTCCGGCTAGTAAGGCTGCTCCTGACAGCTGGGACTGGAGGGACCACGGGGCGGTCAGTCCTGTGAAGAATCAGGTATGATGGCACAGATTAGCGTGAATCAGTGAAACATCAGTCCGAGTACGTCTGCAGAATTTAACTTCAAATTAACATGTTTTATTATTGTAAACTTGGGTTAATTAAGCCTTTACATTATTTCTAGTGTGATTAATCCCTGTGTATTTTGATTGTAAACATTCACGTTTAAGTTCATTACTGTGTTTATTTTTAAGAGTGGTCACCTATATTTATAACCTTCAGTATGCAAATATGGGTAAGCAAAATCATTCGTTTTGATTGGTTTGTAAATGTTAAACATTATAATTAGTTAAACATTTTAACGGACTGTCTGTTGCAGGGCATGTGTGGCTCCTGTTGGGCATTTTCTGTGACTGGAAACATTGAGGGACAGTGGTTCAAGAAAACCGGACAGCTTCTTTCCCTCTCTGAGCAGGGTAAATATAAACTACAATACCATTTAAAAGTTTGGGGTCAGTGAGAGATTTTTTTTATTCTTCTATTAGAGATCTTTTATTCAGCAAGGATGCATTCACAACTGATCAGAAATGACAGTAAAGACATTTATAATGACAAAAGATTTGTATTTCAAATAAATACTGTTCTTTTGAACTTTCTATTCACCAAAGAATCCTGAACAAATAACTAAATTCAGTGAAAAGGTACATTGATTTCTTTGCTTCACAGAATTAGTGGACTGTGATAAACTGGACCAAGCATGTGGAGGTGGACTGCCGTCTAACGCTTACGAAGCCATTGAGAAGCTTGGTAAGAAATAACATTCCCTTTCAATCAAACTACCTATAGGGAATCTGTAAGAATAAACATGTCCCATATAAATGTGCTTCTTTCTTTTACCTATAAAGGAGGTCTTGAGACAGAAACGGACTACAACTACATAGGACACAAGCAGAGCTGTGATTTCTCTTCAGGGAAGGTGGCCGCCTACATTAACAGCTCCGTTGAGCTGCCTGACAATGAAAACGGTGAGAGAGATGAGGAACTAGAGATGTGTCAATAAACTCAATTCAATTTAAAACACATCAAAACAACTCTGATGATGGAAATACCTGCACTAGAGGAAATTAAAAATATCAAATATTTATATCAGAACATTTGGAGAGAAATATGAGCTATAAGCTAATCTTACTTAAGTGTTAATATACCATCGATAATTACAGAGCATACAGTGTTTTAAATTGAAATACACCTGTGTTCAAAAATTTGGGTAAGATTTATTTAAATGTTTAACACCAAGGCTGCATAGTAAAAAGAGTAATAATGCAAAATATTACAATTTGAAGTAACAATTTTCTTTCTTTGAATATATTTATATTCAAATGCTATTTATTCCTGTGATGCAAAGCTAGCTTTTTAGAATCATTATTCAAGTTTCAGTGTCACATGATTATTCAGAAATCATTATAATATGATTTGCTGCTCAAGAAACATCTTTTTTAATTATTATCAATGTTGAATACAGTTTTACTGCTTAATACCATATTTTCTTTGATGTACACAAAGTTCAAAAGAACAGCACCGATTTAAAGATTTTTTGTTACAGTAGAACTGTAAAATGTCTTGATTGGTATTTCCTTGTAGAGATTGCTGCTTGGCTGGCTGAGAAGGGTCCGGTCTCTGCTGCCCTCAATGCTTTCGCCATGCAGGTAAAACAAACACACCATGGAGCTGCCTCATTGGAAAAATATACCATTAGCATGCATTAATATATTTCCCTGTAATGTTCTGGGCAAAATTGTATATAATGTAATTGATGAGAAAACAGTAAAAAAATGTGTGTGTGTGTGTATATATATATATAAAACATAAGCCACACGTTTCTAATGCAACAAAAAAAATATATATCTTTACCTGATTACTTGAAGTTGCCTTTTTTAAACGTTTTTTTTTACTGTCTTTAGTTCTACAGAAAGGGAGTGTCTCATCCTCTAAAGATCTTCTGCAACCCCTGGATGATTGATCACGCTGTGCTGCTTGTGGGATTCGGACAACGTGAGTTATATTGATTTCAATGTTTGTACTGATTCAGATGTGAACTTCAGGTGTTTAAACAGCAAGGCTGTGCCAAACAAAGTTTCATTATATACATTTCACTATATACATTTACAGGCATATAGAATCAGTCAACAGAGTTGCGTAGTGATGTTTATTTTTCTGCCTCTTTGTGCAGGTAATGGCATTCCATTCTGGGCCATCAAGAACAGCTGGGGAGACGACTATGGAGAGCAGGTATGAACAATGTGCAAGAAAATGGCAGCAGTCATTATTTGATGTTAAAATCATTAATACATGGCCTCTGTAGACATCCATTCTTCATTGATGTTGGAAAACATTACTGATGTTTTAATGTCAGTAAGTTTGATTGTTAGAAAAAGTGAAAAGCATCTAAAATTGCTACAAATTAAAATTTAAGCTCTTCTAGTCCCGTTCTTTTGGCACACAATACACAAAGTGATCCAGTGGTGGTTCATATTTCTAAAAGGTGAGCCACATCTTTTAAAAGACACAAGTTGCTTTTGAGTTATATTGTTATCATTATTTACTGATATTGTGTGAAAATGCATCGTCATTGTTGTGTTTTCTTTTTTGTTTATATTTTACCTCATGAAGCACTTTGAGCTGCCATATGAAAACTCCTATAAAAATAAGTTTTATTATTAAAAATGTGTTATTTGCAATTATTGTAGTTTTTCCCACCGAAACCAGCACAGAAAAAAAACAAATAAAAAAAAAAACATTTGGTCCTGCTCGTAACTATTATCTAATTGTTAATTTAATTTCAAAACAATGAGTTGAGCCTGTGTCATATTTGCTTTTAACCCTGCTGAACAGATTAGCACTTATCAATTTTTAACAGTGCATTCTACTGAATATTTTGAGCTGCTGGTCTTGGAAACTAGATTTTGCACACTATGAATTTCCACAGTATATTGTGATCATTCCGTTAATGTAAGTATGGCTGTTTTTACCCGCACATCTTCCTCTTTTTTTTTTTTTTTTACCATTTTGCTGCATGGGAAAAAGTTGCTGATGCTTCTTCCAAATGCACAATGGAAGATTTGTTTGAGGTTCGAGTTGTGGTAGAAAAGTTGCATTTCTCAGTTGCTGTGCTGTTACTGTTCAAACCAGCTGTAGCTCTAATGCATTATCAAAGCTGTATTGCTGAATAAACTCCCAAATGTCTCAGTCATGCTTTATGCTGCAATAACAGTCAAGTTTTTCTTAGTTCAATAAATGAGCAATATTCATTTAGAAAAGGCTTAAATTAGTTTCAAATTTTAGCCACTTTAAAATGTATGCAACCCCGGATGAAAGCAAACACAGCAGTAAATGAAGCAAGAGAACTATGGTTAACCTCTGAGGTTTGTTTTGAGTTAAAAGTGGAACTTGAAGTGTTGTTTGGGTGGTTTTAGATGAAGCAGCAAGAATCAGTGAAAAAACAAATACATAAAATATATAAATTATTAAACTTCATGAAAAGGAAAATACTTTTCATCCAAGGTCAATGCTTTGCAGATTTTGTGGAGCCCTCTAGTGGTTATTTGTGGTAGTTTACCTCAGTCCGAATAGCTTTGCAATTTCCATACATGGCATTGACCTCAACAGAGATCACACAGTTAAATTAAACATGTCATGTTATTTTATTGTCTTAAAAAGTTACACAATCCCCAAGGGAGGGATTTAGTACACTAAAACATTTAACAGCACAACTACACAAACGGGGAATTTATTTTTTTTAAATATTATAGACTTTACCAAAAAAATCCCCCTTGTAGGTTTTTATACTCAGCTTGACATATAAGCCATCTCTTACAGAATGACATAATGTCACAATAAGGAACAATGTTATTGAGAACCATAAGAAATCCATCATGTTTTGGGAAGACATTTCATGGACTATCAGTATTTCGTATGAAATATGTTCATTATAAACAGAACATCCATTCGGATGATTTTTTTCTCCTTTTTCTTTTTACAGTCACCAGAGAACAGGCATTAGTGCAAAAATGGTATAACAAGGTAGTCCTGGCTGCAGTTTATCCATTTATTGGAGAGCGTGACATTTTACAGTCCTCTAGAACTCATGAGGGGACTCGTACTCGGATGAATATGACAGATGTTCACTAAATGGAGCAGTGAACCATCGTTTCACAAAAGAAAGTTATAATTGAGTAACTTATTTAAAAACTTAGAAATCACTGATTCTTAAATATTGGGGCAAAACAGGGCAAAGAACAAATGTTAATGCGTCAAATAATTATTTTGTGTAAACTTGTACGTTTTCTGACTTGGTTGCTACTTTATAAATAATTCATACAAGACTAGTTCACAGGTCAGATACAAAATGTGTACGGTCATGTGACAGAATTTGCTAGACTTGTCGATATTTATAAAAATGAGCTGACTAATGTCAAATATTTATCATAAGTATTAAGTACTGACAAATTTAGCATTCAACTTTAAGAATGAAGAAAATATCACACTATCATAACCATATAAGTATTAATTTGCTGTAGCCACTTTATTTTTCTAGTGTTGCTAATATTAACAGGACTTCAATATTCTAATAGGAAATTACGCAGAAATCAAAAACATTGTTGCAATCTTTATGATGGAGGTGGCAAATTATAGAAAGGGAACACGTTGATGTATATATAAACTGTAATGTAATATAAAAAACTGTGAAACATTATTACTATTTAAAATAACACAAAAAATAACAATAAAAAGTGTTAAAAACAATGCAAAGTCTCAGTGTTAAAAACAATGCCCCCCCCCCGTTTATTATTATTATTTAAAATAATAATAAAGTTTTGCCCCACCTCTCAAGAATCAGTGAAATATTGTTCTAAATGCTTACCATGAATTTGTGCACTAAAAGAACTGGGAAAAAAACTAATTGTAATCATAATAATAATCATAATAACAATAAATAATTGAACATGGCAGGACATATCAGAGATATGAAGTTCTAAATGATCCACTCTATATGGGTCCTATATGATTCCACACTCTACACAAGTCTCCTCTCTATTACAATGAGACTTGGCTCTATTAGTATGAGAACAGTAGGTTACTAACGCTTGATGATGGAGATGTGATTGAAAAGCACTAGAAGTACATTCACAGTTTGCAAGCTGATAGTGGTTTGTCTAATACAGCGGGCCTAAGGTGGGGGTGGACGTCTCTCATGTCTCCCTCTACGACTGTACAAATAGTGGAGGTAGCAATGTGTGTATTCTGTGTCATCTAGTAGTTGAGCACCTGGTTAAAAGAGAAAATCTGGAGAAAAAAAAAATGGATTCCAACTTTTTTTCTTTAAAATAATAACGGTCCATTCAATGAGAAAGCACCAGTAATTTTTAAATTGGTATTTTTTTTTATAAACAAATAATGCATTAACGGTGGTATGTTTTGTTAAGATTCTACATAAATGTCCCAGAGAAATCCCAGGACGGCGGACGATACACAAGGATGCGGTAGAACGATTCCAGCAGAAACAGATGAGCTTGTTCGGATTTCCAGGGAGATTATCATGGCCTTCAAATTTCGGCCAGCAAATGTGAGACACTAAGTCAGTAGAGTTCAGAGGGACCTGAGCGTACAGAGTGACACACCAGACAGAGCGATGAATGAATAGGCAGAGGCAACGCAGCCAAGTTTGGATCAGAAGACAGTTAAGACCCGTAGTGGATACATTAAGCTATAAAGGACACCTACAAATGAGTTTGATCGAGGATTTTATCCCAAACAGATCGCAGATCAGCGTAAATTTAGTCCTAATGAAGTGACTTGTTTGTCTGCAGCAGTATTTGTTACAAATATCAAAAAAATAAAATAAAAGATACCTCCAGTGAATCGTGTGTTTTTGAAACACGTCTACATTTGAAAACAGCAGGAACAGGCGTCACACGAGCGCTGTAAGATTGTAACAGTCCTGGTGAAGTTGAGTTTAACAGCGGTCCCCATCACTACACGCTGGTGATGGAGGCCTGTTTCTCCGTGCGGTTGGCGGGCAGCTCACGGATGGTGCGGAAGCTGGGGGGTTGGTAGGGCGGCGGGGGTCTTTTGGTGCCAATGTGTCCTGGACTCAAAGCCATATTTTGGCGCCTGCTATTTTCCACATTACTCGAGGTGTTCGAAGCAAGGCTTTCCCGCGTGCTGAAGCGGTACAGAAGGACAGAAAGGGAAAGAGAATGAAAGTGTTATGAAGAAAGCAGAAATGGAAAATTGATTAGTAACAGGCTGAAAAAGGAACAAAGATGGGGTTAGTCAAGGTTAACTATCACAATCTTGTTATTAATGCTGATCACCATTCAGAACTGAACTGAGAATGCAGTTTAATTTCCAAAGAATCTTCTGAATTTAAATTGAGTTTGCAAACAGGATGTAGAATTTGAATTTGATTATAAAGTAGCAGAATTAAAATGGAATAAAATTCAAAATGAAGCTAAGCATAAATCTTCTCGTCAATATTTTATCAGGAAAACAATGTCGTGGATAATTCTTGTGGTGCTGTAAAGACGTATAAAAATTTTGACAAAATGAGGAATACAAACCTGAAGGGACAGAACATCTATAAAGGGTTAGGGTGATGATACATGGATTTATATGTTGAGTCTAAAAGCCCAGTGTCAATAGATGCTACTCTCAAAAAGCCAAACCTTCCCAAAGTAAGATGGATGACTACTAGGGCTGTCAATTTTTTTTTTTCGAATTTCGAATATTTGTCGAATTTAAAATAAAAATCCACATTCGAATGCAAAAACGTTGCATTCTAATTTTAGGTGTGCGTTAAGGAGCCTTATCAGTGGCGCACGAGATGCGATGACGATGAAAGTGTCATTGCATCATTATAATGTTTTAGTTAGCCTATCCAGCTGAAGCCATTAGATGCGGCACTGCTGCATTGTTCATTACAAATATTGCGGGAAAAGAGAACATCAATGCGGAGATCTTGTTGACGTCAAAACTGAAACCAAGCCGTCCACACAGAACGCATATTTCGTGCATTTTCTAGAGGGACATCTATCACCGTTGCACTCGCGTCTCACACAAAAGAGCCGCATGTTTAGAAAACCATGTAAAATTACTGCAAGTTCAACTTTGAAAAAACATATCTCGAAACTTTATGGCGGGTTTTTTCCCCAACCCACTGCAACTCGTGTTTTTAAATGAAAAATATACTCCGTGTGATTGGCTTTCGACCCTTTGTATTAAACTATGAATACATACATGATGCTGTTTTGTT